GGGGTTTAGTCCACTTCTATATCCTTCCCTTCAAGGCTGAGGGGTCCAGGATTATCTTCTGTGTCTGTGTTAATTGGTTTCCCTTTTCTTTGTTGAAGAGAGTCTGTGCAGTCTTTCTGCCTAGTCTGCCATCTACCAGAACTCCCTCCGGGATGTGTTTTAAATATGTTTACACCAGTTTGTATTTTCAAATAAAGATCTAATGATATTGGTGAGTTACAGCATTTTTATTTCACATCCTAATGTGTCTTTGTTTTGAATATTTTACAGAGAGACCCAGTAATTGCAAAACAGCTCTTCAGCAGCTTGTTTTCTGGAATTCTAAAAGAGATGGATAAATTTAAGACAATGTCTGAAAAAAACAGCATTACTCAAAAGTTGCTTCAGGACTTCAATCATTTTCTTAATACCACTTTCTCTTTCTTTCCACCTTTTGTCTCCTGTATCCAGGTAAAAGGCTGTATACACTCTTCATAAAATAAGCATTATGTATGTTTATTTTATAATATTACGTTATAATAACTTTATTTGTTATCAAGTTCAAACTGTTAATAATTATAAGATGTTTAACAGAGTAGATGCATGTTTGGGTTTATTGCTTCCCAATTGGGTTGGTGTAATTTATTTTTATTTTTATTCCCCCCAGAATTATGGATATGCGGATAATAAGTTATCAAACTATGTAAAAGTGTTTTATTTTGAAATAAACTAATCTCTTCTGTGCTTTGATGAAACCCTGCATTTTGTTTAGTTGCTTTTCCTCATGTAATATTTCACTAAATTCTTTCCTGCCTCCTTACTGCTGTCAAGAAATACTGATTTGTTCATAGTGATGACAAGAGTAAAGTCCCTGTCTTCATACAACTTTAGTGGGTGGTTGATAATTAACTAACACATAAATATAGGACATAACCTTTGATAGTAGTAAGTTTATAGTGCTTGAGGAACAGTACTAAGATAATGTAGGGTAGTGCTACAGCAGGCACAGAAATGGCCTGGACAGGATGTATATGTGCCACAATCTGAGGTGGTTTAGGAGTCTTTCCTGAGGCAGTGGCACTCTGAGCAGAGAACTTCATGGAGGTCTAATTTCAGTTAAGTATACTTACTGGAAGATGAATTTTTTCATGAAAGAAATATTTTCTTGACCATTCAAATCATGAATCATTAGAACTTTCTTAGAAAATCTTTTTGATTCCTTTTATCACTTTTATAACTTGTAACCTACCTGATGTAATTACAGAATCATATACTTTAACATTTATCAGTAATATTGATTTACAAATGAATTGGAAAGTAATTCCTTGAGACGAAGTATTTTACTTTTCTATTTTGTTCTTTTTGATGTATCTTGAAAATGTACGGGTGGTTTCATTATATATTACCTTCATTTTTACTGTTTAATATAGTCAATTCCTGCTTTTAGCAACCCCCATTGGCCCCATCTTCCTTCTGTGGAACAGCCGGTGGGTTTGAACTGCGAACCTTCTGGGTAGCAGTCAAATGTCTTAGGCATTGTACCACCAGAATTCCTAATGATTTATAAATTAAAACAAAGCAATGCAATCAAGTTGACTGTGACTCCTGGTTGATCCCATGTGTGTCAGAGAATAACTGTTCTCCATAGGATTTTTGATGGCTTGTTTTCTAAAAATAGATCACCAGGCCTTTCTTCCAAGGTTCATATGATTGGACTCAAACTGAGGTGGTTTAGGAGTCTAAATTTTCAGTTAGCAGACAAGCATATTAACTGTTCACACCACCCAGGGATTCCCATAATTTATAAATCAAACTCCTTTATTTTTTTTCTCCTGGCCACATTAAGATAAAAAGTGTTTGAAGAATCATGTATTGTGTCAGCCAGTATTTCAGAATAGGCTTCTCTTTACATTGTATGCTGAAGTGATTTTTTAAAATCTTAATTTCTAGTGTTTTCCCTGTATTTTTCCATCCTAATTTGGTAGAATCATTAACTGTCATTAAGTAAACAAACAACCTCAATAGCTCCCCCTGGGGCTTGCTAGTTGGCAGTGACCATGGAAAGGGTATCAGATGTACAGACCATGCTTGCATTTGAACTGCTGTTGCTAGGACTGTCTACTTGGGGCACACATCTGAAACTACTGTTTTTCTTTATCCATGGCCTCCTGCTGCATCCTGACAGACAGCGTTCACAGGGTGCCTTCTTCTTCTTTTTAAATAATATTTTACTGTGTTTTTGGTGGAAGTTTACATAGCAGTTTAAGATCGATTCAAAATTTTCTACACAAATTGTTCAATGACAGTTACATTTATTACATGTTCTCATTATTTCCATCTGGTTGTTAGTCTTCCCCCTTACTTTCTCATCTTTGTTTTAAAGTAATTGTTGACCATTTAGTCTCATATAGATGATTTTTTAAAGAATCATAGTACTCATGGTGATAGTCTTTATTTTGTGAGCCAATCTTTCATATTTAGCTAAAAGGTAACCTTAGGGGCTAGTTTCAGTTCAAGTTTTAAAGAACATCACAGGGCAGTAGTCTTGGGGAATCCTCTGTTCTCAACTCATCCAGTAAATCTACTTGTTGTTTTTAAGAATTTGAAATTTAGTTCCACATTTTTCTCCCATACTACCAGGGTCTATCTATTGTGGTCTTGATCAGAATGGTCCATAGTGACAGATGGGTACCATCTAGCTCTTCTGGTCTCAAGGTAGATGAAGCTCTGGTTTGTTGTAGATTAGTTTCTTCTCTGAGTCTTTAGTTTCCTTTTTTTCTCTTTTGGTCTGGATGAGTAGAGACCAATAGTTGTACCTTAGATGGCTGCTTGCAAGCTTTTAAGAAACCAGATACTGCTCACCAAACTAGGATGTAGAACATAACTTTTTGAACTATATTGTACCAATTAACTGAAATGTCTTACAAGACTGTGGTCCTAAAACCAATCCTATGAGATTTTGGAGGTATCTGTAACTGTACCCCCATGTGCTTCATTATATATATAAATATAAATGCATACAGTCATATACATGCATATCCATATGCACCTATATATACAGGTAGTCTCCAACTTACAATGTATCTGAGTCATGATGAACCACACTTAGAGCCATCTTTTTTTTTGGGTGGGGGGACATCTTATTGTTAGTAAGTGTATGGATATTATCCTGTCACTTGACAGCATTACACTTCTGGATAGATCTTGAAACATTCTTTGTGATGGTGAATGTGATGCCATTCCTCTTCAGTTTGCCATGCTTGGCATAGTAAATCTTATGTTTGATGAGCACTCAGGTTGTTTCTATCCTTTTGCTATAGCGAATATGCTGTTGTTAACATAGTGTGCATATGTCTGTTCCTGTTACTTCTACTAGATCCCTCGGGTATATTCCTAGGAGTGGAATTGTTGAGTCATATGACAGCTCTACCTATATATAGTGTTTTGAGGAATGCCAGACTTTCCCACAATGACTGTATCATTTTGCATTTCCACCAGCAATGGATAAGGATTTCAATTTCTCCACATGTCCTCCAACACTTGTTATTTTCTGTGTTTTTTTTTTTTTTTTTAAATCTCTTAGCCATCCTAGTGGGAGTGCAATGGTATCTCATTGTGAGCTAATGACATTGAGCATCTTCTCATGTGTCTATTTATCCACTTTGGTAAACTGTCTTTTCATGTCCTTTGCCTAGTTATTTATTTTTTTTTAATAGTATTTTGTTGTGTTTTTGGTGTTTTGTCTAGTTTTTGATTGGGTTATTTCTCCTTTTGTTGTTAAGGAATAGATATTTTCTATATGTTTTTAGATAAAGATTTTTTCCCAATTCATAGGTTGTGTCTTTACTCTTTCGGTAAAATCTTTTGATGAACATAAGTATTTAACTTTTATGAGGTGCTATTTATCTATTTTGTTTTCCATTGCTTGTGTATTTGTTGTGTTTGATAATGTATTATTAAACAAAATTAGATTTCAAACCTTTGCTACTATGTTTATTCCCAAGAACTTTATGGTTTTAGATTTAACGTTTAGGTCCTTGAAGCATTTTGAATTTGTTTTTGTATACGGTTCACAGAACTTTTTGTTCTAGCAAGGACAAATGACTATTTCTTTAAGAACGCTATTTACCAGAACAACCCTGCCTCCTTCGCAGAGGTATACACAGTCCACTAGCCATTCTTCCCTTGTGCTCTGATTAACCAACAAACATTAATTTGGTGCTCTACTCTGTACTGTACATTGTTTTGTTTCAACTTTGTGTAAAATTAGGATTTTTATGTACAAAAACACTTACTGAGCAATGTCTGTATGCATTGTCTTATACAAACTATGGAATATTTTAAATGAAGACTTAGCCTCTGCCCTTCAGGAGCTTAAGACCCTAAGATAAAGTTAAAACAAGGAATATTATAATTAATTTCTGTAAGCATTCAATATTTTAAAAATTTGCCTCATTTTTTCTTAATTTGGAACTTATAATAAGTGAAATCAAATTATTAAAATTTATCTTTTGCTTAGCATATCAAGCTTTATGATATAAATGGTTCTGTAAACAGGATTGTCCAGATAGTCTTCTTTAAAATAGACTGAAATCATTCATTTAAATTATCTGTACATATTTACATATATCCTAACAATAGCCATTTACTCATTAAAACTATTTCATGAAAGAATTCTTTTGGACAAAAAGGATGAATGGATCTTAAGCTGTAGTCAAGGACAATACTGTGCCTACTCAAGTGTCTGGAACCTAGAAGGTACTTGATAAGTATTTATAGGATGAATAGGTTACTTGAAAATTCAAAATGTATTTATTTTTTAAATTACATATTTCATATTGGAATTCTCTCTCCAAATTAGGTATCATCTTAAAATTTAACACCTAAGACAGCTTTGGTGTGTTATTAATTGAAGTAGAATTATATTTTACTTTTCTGTACTATTAGTATTTGTTTGCTTTGTGGGGTTTATGTCCTTACATTAATTCTAATTTAGGACTCTACTTGGCTTGGTGGTAACAAATCAGAGTATCATACAACTGCTAGCAGAAGGAAGAGGCTGGTGTCCAGTGTGAGGAGGGCTTATCTTCTCATGCGCAGACACACATGCAGGTCTTTAATGAAAATGCTGTCATATGATGCATATTATTCTGAATATTGATTTGAAATCTGTTTTTCATTAATATGGTATATATATATGGCGTTCACATTGAGAATTACAAAGTAAAGGTCAGTATAATAATTGCTAAAATACTATATTCAAATATTGTTGAGAAGTTAGCAACATAAAAGGTTGCATAGACTGAGATGAATATACCCACTTCTTTGATGATTACATATGAAGTAATCATTACATATGATTATATATGCAGCAGTTTCAGCTGCTTTTCTTAATCAATTAATTGGATTAATATTCATGGAAACTGCAATTATTTGAATATATAGAAATCTTCATATTTTGCTAATGGTTTTCTTGCTTTTAATTAATCCCTGATTTGGAAGTGTAAAAATAAGGTCATTTCCTCTTTTGAGTAAATTAAATGTTGAGGAAAACTTATTAATACAATTATACAGAGAAACTGCTACTTGCGTCAGAACTTTCTTTTGTTTAGTAAAATAAATTATTCATTTGTGAAGATATGATCCAAGTACCACAGGCTAAACAACTGCATGTGTTTGTGGTTTCTCAGGAAGTGAGTTGCCAACACCCGGACTTGTTTGGCCTTGACCCGGCCTTGGTGAGTGCTGGCTGCCTGGCCAGCCTACAGCAGCCTGTTGGCATCCTGCTCCTGGAGGAGGCTCTGCTCCACCTGGAGCCCCCAGAGCCTCTGGCCAAGCGGGCCCGGGGAGTGCCCCACCCCTCTCCTGAAGTCTTCAGATGGATTGAGCTTGCAAAGTAAGCCCTGTGATTATAGCACTCTGATATATAAACATGAATTTGACCCAAGTAATACAGAAAACTGGTTTGTGCTTTATTACTGGGTGGTGCAACTGGTTTGTGCTCAAATGCTAACCTAGAGGTTGGTGGTTCAAACTCACCTAGTGGCACCAAAGAAGAAAGATTTGGCAATCTGCTTCTATAAAGATTGCAGCCAAGAAAACTCTATGGACAGTTCTATTCTGTAACTTAAACGGTTGCCATGAGTCAGAATTAACTCAGTGGTAATGGTTTTGGTTTGGCTTTACTATAGAAAAATTTTGACTTCATTTTGGCAGCAAATAAACCAACAAAGGTGATAGTAGTAACACTTCTGTGAAATTTCTTAAAAACTCTTTTAGGTGAGTTCCATTCCATGAATCAAGGAACATCTTTCTCAAGGAAGACAACATTAATTAACTCTCTTAATTTCCTTCAGTATATGGAAGATTATTGCCCACCAAGTCTAGTTTCCTCTAAAGTGTAGATTTAACTTAGAGTCCGTGGTGTTTTGTTTTGGCTGCTCTGCTGAACTGAATAGAGAATGATCTGTTGTTTTTAGTTGGATTAAAAATTTTAGAAATCGTTCAATCAGATTAGTTTTATTTGGGAAAAACAAATTCTATTTTGTAGTTATGCCATTTAACATTGTATCTGATTCTTCCTTTATCTGGTTTTAATCCTATGAAAGCCAGTATTTAATTCTAAAAGCAGGATATTTGATAAGGATTGAAATTTAATTTGAACTTCTGTTTTATAGTAAAACCAAAAACCAAACTCACTGTTCTTGAGTTGGATCCGATTCACAGCAACCCCTCCTTGGGTTTCCGAGACGGTGTCACTACAGAAGTAGATCTCCCAATCTTTCTTCTGAGGAGTGGCTGGTGGGTTTGAACTTCCAGCCCTCTGGTTAGCAGTCAAATACCTTAGGTACTACACCATACTGGTTTTTAAATCTTTTGTTTCTAGGATAAAAGAGTAAATACAAGGGTGGGAATCCTTGCACTTGTCACTTGTCATTCCTATCTTTCTGTTTTAATTGGGCACTGTGAGTATATAAGGCACTAGGGCTAAACACTTATTTCAGACTCACAAAACTAACCATCCAATAGGAAAGTACATCCACCTCTGTACAAAACTAACCATAGCTGGAAGTAGGAGGTAGTCAAGGGCGCAGATAAATGCCAGGCAGTTAAGAGAACACATGTTGATGATTTAGATGTCTAGGTAAACAGTGTTGTTTTTACGTGCCATTGAGTCATTTATGGCTCATAGTTACAATAGAAGGAACCATTGGCTGGTCCTGTACCATCCTCACAGTCATTGCTATGCTTGAAACCATCATTGCAGCTGTGTCCATCCATCTCATTGAGAGTTCCTTTCTTCTTTCACTGACCTTCTACCCTCTACCATCTAAGCATGATATCCTTCTTCAGGGACTGGTCCCTTCTGACAACATGGCCAAACCATGTACCTCTTCTAAGATAGATTTGTTCATTCTTCTGGCAATTCATGGTATTTTCAATATTCTTTGCCAGCACCATGATTCAAATCCATCAGTTTTTCTTTGGTCTTCCTTATTTATTATCCAGCTCTCACGTGCATATGAGGCTATTGAAAATACCGTGAGTTGGGTCAAGAACACCTCAGCCTTCAAAGTTACATGTTTGCTCTTTAACACTTCAAAAAGATCTTTCACAGCAAATCATTGCTCTTCACCAAGCAAGATTGTATCATCTGCATATCTCAGGTTTCTAATGAGTCTTCTTCCAATCCTGATGACACGTTCTTCTTCATATAGTCCAGTTTCTCAGATTATTTACTCAGAGTACAGATTGAATAAGTATGGTGATGGAATACAACCCTGATGTATACCTTTCATGATTTTAAATCATGCAGTATCCCCTTTTTCTGTTTGAACAACTGCCTCTTGGTCTGTGTACAGGTTCCTCATGAGCACAATTAAATGTTGTGGAATTCCCATTCTTCATGACATTATCTACAATTTGTTATGATCCACATATCTAATGCCTTTGCATGGTTAATGTGACTATGTAAACAGTAACAACACCTCATATAGCTAGTACTTTCAGGGGATGAGAAACCCTTATGAGGTGCATTTGCTGTACAAATAGTTTTATTATTTTTTTTTTTTAAAGGAATCCAAAAATTGTTTATTTGGTAAATACTAGATTTTGTAGTAGGAGCTCTGGTAGCATAGTGGCTAAAGCACTTGACTGCTAACCAGAAGGCTGACGGTTCAAACCCACCAGCCACTCCTCGGAAGGAAGGTTGGGCAATCCTACTTCCATAGTGATACTGCCTCGGAAACCCAAGGAGGGGTCGCTATGAGTCGGGGCTGACTCGACAGCACATAACAACAACAACAGATTTTGTAGTTAAGATTTTTAAAAATCTGTATTTTCATTATTCACAGCCTGCATATCTATGCTGTTTTATGTTTTAATTTTCTTTTTTTTTAAATTGTGATTTGGGTGAAAGTTTACAGAGCAAATTCACTTTCCATATAGCTCACATATACTTTGTCTCATGACATTGACTACAATCTACCACAATCCAACAACTCCCCTCCCACTTCTCCCCATATTTACCTCTTCCCTCCATGCACTCCTGCCCCCTGAGCTGTCTCCCTGTGTGTACACAGCCCTTCTATTGTACAAATAGCTCTTTTAACCTCCTAAACTTTTCTAACTTTATTAAATACTTCCTCAAACTTTTTTATATAATACTTTTGCATTCTGTGGTGAATTGCTTGATGTGGCCCTTCTAGCTATTGTCCTCCATTTTATGATGTATTGTAAATCCTATTATCCAAGCCTGTATAGGGTGGTGTGGTAGTTAAGGTCATGTGTCAACTTGGCTAGGCAGCTGGTAGTAGTTATTCTCTGTAATGACTGGCAATCAACTATGTGGTGCAGTTTGCCATTAGCAACTGAGTAACTGCTTTTAAACTCCTGATTATTAAAATCATCCACTTGGGTTATTTCTGTTGGAGCAGTACAGAAGTAACCAGAACAGATGGGATATATCTTGAGTCCTGCCTTGCTGGAGGGGGTTACTCAAATCACCACTCCTAGCCTCCTTGAAAATATATATAGGAATCTTCTGGAAGGTTTGTTCTCCCTCCTGCTCCAGTTCTGCATTTTGGCTAATCGTCATCACATCCCTGGATTTGAGACAGCAGCTGTCGTCTGATCTGCTGATTTAGGTTCATCAAACCCCCCAAATTGGGAGGATCCTCCAGAGCTACTTACAGACCTGGGACTTGCCAGCCTGCCAGCCTCCTAGCCTCCACCACCACTGCATGAGATGATCTCTTGGGTGTCTGTGAGTTCTGTGAGATGTTACAGTGAAATACAGAACCCTAAGGGAGATTACTAAGAGGAGGAGGAGGAGTTAATGTATGAAATGATATGGAGTGGCATGGTAGTATGGACATAGGGGATATATTTAATCTCCACTTCATGGGGACCGGCCTTGTGCTGTTCTATCTAAGAGAAATTGTTAAAGCATATTCCTTGCAGAGTGTTGTGAATGTAATTTAACCTGTCATCATTTTGACCATCCATTATAGTGTCCATGGTCCAGAGACCGTGGGACCAGTGTAAGGTAGGGTGTACATAAGATTGAGAACTTTTCTGAATTTGTGGAAGATGTCTATAGCTCTCATCTCCTTTATGACTCTTGGCTTGGGACCTATTATTACTCTACCCTTCTAAGTAGCCACCTCTACCTCTGATTTGATATCCTCTATGCTCTGTGATCAAGGCAATAAGAAAGCTACATTTATTAAATTTTTATCTAAATTTGGAATCAGTAGGCTCTAGGAGAGAACCTGGAGGGTCGTTTTGTATAAATATATGTGAAGTTTAGTCCACAGAAGGGCAGCTGGACTGGAGGGGCCAAGAAGAAGCAGTCATTGGTGTGATGGTTAAAGGTTTTTCTTTTTTCTTTTCTTTTTTATTTTTTTCATGTAAGAGATGCCATTTGCATTGAGACTTAAAAGATGGAAAAGACGTTTTCAGAGGGGTGAGAACAACACATATTAAACACCTATTTAGGGATATTTTGAAGGGAGAAGCTTGGTTGACAAGATCAAGCAAGGCTTTTGTTAAGATAAAGAAGTAAATGAATGCTGTAACAGATATGAAGGCCGTATAGAAGTTACTTGTCAATAGAATTGAGATAGTCCGTGATTTGTGGGTTAAAATGAGGCATCAGGAGTGTCAGGATTATTTTCCTTGCTTCTGGATTTCTGGCTAAATTATAAATTCCAGGAGTAGACACAGATTCCAAATGGATCACCCACAGATAAATGGAGTGTTATTGTAATGAAATAATACTTAAACTTATTTAATGAAGCAGTTTATATATTTGAACTTTCGATATTTTCTTATTTCAGCTTAAATGCATTTTAAATGTAAAACCTAATGGTAACTTCAAAATTTTTTAAATAACATTTTATATTTTATAAATTCATATAATGTGTGACATCTTGATTTAATATCATTTCATTAAACTAATAAAAACTTATAAAACATTGGGATTTTCATTAACTTGGACTTTTCTTTTTGATTTGTTTTACAGATTGTATAGATCAATTGGAGAATATGATGTCCTCCGTGGTATTTTTAGCAGTGAAATAGGAACAAAGCAAGTTACTCAGAATGCGTTATTAGCAGAAGCCAGAAGTGATTATTCTGAAGCTGCTAAGCAATACAATGAGGTAAAATTGTCTAGAAAATATGTCAGTCATTTTTGTTCTCTGGGTGGAACTGTTAGCTTTTGAATTTAGAACTTTATAATGCTTCACTTTTATATTCATTCCTTTGATTTTACCAAAATGTTAATAGCAGAGACTGGTTTCATAATAACTAAATGTGAAATAATTATTGGTGTAACTCTTACCCTTTCTAAGAAACTACCACTGAATTAAAGAGAAAACATTTCAATTTCTAGTACTAGAAACTATAAGATGTAATTTCTTTACCTATCATTATTAATAATTTGATTTGAATAGATCTTTTTCTTTCAGTTAATAAAAGATCTGTAGAGAAGTAAAGAAGAATTGGTTTTAGGAGGATGACTATAGATTAAATATTGGACTGCCTGTGTTTTGCAGTGCCAGGGCTTCCCAGATAGACACCTGCCCAGCAAGTGGTGCAAATCCAGGTTGATATTCAGAGACTTGAGTGAACATCTGGATTTTACATGCTGTCAATTTCTGCAAATACCCTATGTTCTAATTGTCATTCCCAGAACTTGCTAAATAGTCAGTAACACACAGTCTTGACTTGAATGTGATTATGGTCACATAATGTCTCATTCTGATTACTGGCTTCACTGCTAAGTTTCTCACAGAAGTGAGAACTCTTTAAGTCAGGACTCTTACAGTCAGTTGTTACCAAAAATTTCCTTTATTCCTTTCAATAGTACTCTGACTATTTTCTCTTTGCTCTCACCTTGTTCACAAATCTGAAAATGATTGTCCTTAGTGTGAATGTTCTATACCTCTTATTCCTCATTTTTCCATTTATAGTCTTTCCATCTTTTTAAATTATCTTGACTTTTCTCTGCCAGGCTCTCAATAAGCAAGACTGGTTGGATGGTGAGCCCACAGAAGCAGAAAAGGATTTTTGGGAACTAGCCTCCCTAGACTGCTATAACCACCTCACTGAGTGGAGATCACTGGCATACTGCTCTACAGCCAGTGTGGACAGCAAGCACCCTCCAGATCTAAGTAAAATGTGGAGTGAGCCATTTTATCAGGTTGGTAGGATTATTTTGAGGTCACTGAAATAAATATTTTTAATGGTCAAGAATTTTCTAATGAGTACAGTTATTTGGGAGCTCTGGTAGTGTAGTGCCTAAGGCACTGGACTGCTAACCAGAAGGCTGGAGGTTCAAACCCACCAGTAACTCCTCGGAAGGAAGATGGGGCAATCTACTTCCGTAGTGATACTGCCTCGGAAACCCAAGGAGGGGTTGCTATGAGTCAGGTCCGACTCCACGGCACATAACATCAACAACGTCAACAGTTATTTAAAACTTTTCAAAAGCAAGGCAGTAGTAGTGAACAATCAAGGTATTTATATAGCGTAATTCTCCCACAAAGCTCCACAAAACCCAAACCCACTGCTGTCAAGTGTATTCTAACTGATAGTGACCCTATAGGACAGAGTAGAATCCCCATAGGATTTCCAAGGCTGTTAATCTTTATGGAAACAGATTGACACATCTTTCTCCCACAGAGTGGCTGGTGGGTTCAAACTACTGACCTTTAACCACTATGTAAAACACCACATTATTTTTAAATCTCTAATCACTTTTAGCTAACCCTTTCAAAATGAATGGGATATATTTTAAAACACATAATACTATCCCATGACAGCATGGAAAAAGTTTCCTCTTGTCTCTTAATGTTACAAAAAAGGTTGTACGGGGCATTGCCATTCCTGGCACACCCCAACCTCCTGAATGAGATGACTTCAAGTCCCCTATACAGCTGTGATTTTAACTGAACTTTTAAGTTCCTCAGTTTGTGTGTAACATTCAAGTGCTTTTTTTTTTTTTTTTTGCTGTTTATTATTATTTTTATTGTGGTGAAAACATATATACTAAGACATTCACCAAAATAACCACATTTACAGCTCCCCAGTGTTCTTTAAGCTGAAAGTTTTTCTGTTTTCTCAGAACATGTTCCTTTGTGTTTTGTGGTTACAAAATAAGCACTTTTAAATGAACTGGCTTAAAACATTGTAGTTCATGAAATCAGATGTACATGAACTGTTGAATGTTAAATGAGTTTGCTTTGTAAATTTGTACTGAAAGCACAGTAAAAAAAAAAAAAAAATTTAATGACTTACAGCCGCACCATTCTCTGGAGAGTTGCCCTTGACCAAAGGGCGCTGCTTTTCCCAGAGTCGTGACGTTGTTCTGTATCCCCAGGGCAGCCAATGCCAGTAACAAACAGTTACCTTTAAGTCTATTCTGACTCAAGGCAACCCTGTGCATTTCAGAACAGAACTATGCTCCACTAGTTTTCAATGGCTATAATCTTTTGGTAGTGCATCACCAGGCCTTTTTTTCTGAGGTACATTTGGGTGGATTTGAACTGCCACTTACTCACTTCATAATAAAGCACTTAGCTCTTTGTGCCACCCAAGCTACTGTGGCCAGTAAGGGGTACCAAAGCCATCCCCTTTGCCTCAAGTTGGGACAACTTTGTGATGCCAAACATGAACCAGAGCTTTGCGTGTGATTGGACTAAGGTTGAACCACCCCTTTGCCTAGCTTCTCCCTTGCCGTATTCTGCTCCACCCACATCCTTAAAGGTGTCACCAGAGAGCCCTCCCTCAACAAACCACTTGCACACAAGCCTTGCTCCTGCTCAACTTCAGGGATCTTACATAGGGATCTTATATAGGGTCACAAAAAAAACAACCAATGTTAAAACATTGTTTTAGGCTTAAAACAGTTAACATCACTTAGACCCTAAAAATTGAACTATAAATTATACCAAAGAAAGTTATGATAATAAAATAATTATATATTGACAGATAGGTTTTCTAAAGTTACAAGTAGATGTTGATGTTCTGTAGGAGACGTATTTACCTTACATGATCCGCAGCAAGCTCAAGTTACTGCTTCACGGAGATAATGACCAGTCCCTGCTGACATTTGTCGACAATGCTGTGAGCAAGGAGCTCCAGAAAGTTCTCCTAGAGCTTCATTACAGTCAGGAACTGAGTCTCCTTTACCTCCTGCAAGACGATTTTGACAGAGCCAAATATTATATTGAAAATGGCATTCAGATCTTTATACAGGTAATACAGGTGTATCCAAATGTACCATTTTTCATACTACTTTATTAAAGTCATTAAATTCATGAAAATATTTAACAAGTAAAATTTTCAGTTTTAATTTCATACCACTCATTTTCTTCCTACTATTTGTTCTTCCATTTTCTTCTAATATTTCTCTTCACTCTGTTCTTTGCCTTAATTATTTGTAAAATCCTTTCTTTTTCTGTTTTTTAAAAGTTCCTTTTTTGTTTGTTTTTCCTTTAGTTCTTCTCACACTGTTAAAGAACACTTAAGATGTATTTGTGTGTGTGTACTGATATTATGACTTTGCCATTTGGAGCAGCTGTACAGAATTTGGTTGCTTTGTGAAGAAGAGCATGTTTTGAGTATTTCTGTTTATTTTCTGTCATTTTGCCCTCTGTTCTTTTGGTTTTTTAAAATTTTTTCATGACAATTTGTTTATGTTGTAAGTTATTGTCTTTGATTGAGTTGGTTGACATCTGCTGTTGGCATGTAAAGCACACTGATTCGTTTTCTTTTTATTATTTATTTATTTATTGAAGTTGATTAGTAGACTTAAGAAGTTTGTCAAAGAAAAAAGAATTGGATACTATAGTTGGGAGTTTTACCTTACAGGATATCCTGATTTTTAAAAAAGTCACTGGAAATTGAGGCAATGATACCCTGATTGTTACCAATTTTACTGATTTCCTTAAACTAAAATATAATTAGAAATTTTTTTAAAAAATGAATTAAGCTATTTTTTGATTGTTTCTGTGTTCTAATTATTAATCATTCTGAGGTAAATTGGGTAACTTACACATTAGGCTAATTGTTGTATTTCATGTTTTAGAAAATTATCTTAAAAAATTAAAGTAGTATGGATTTTTAGGTATGTCATCAAAAGCATAAGCAACAAAAAACTAGGTAACTTGGACTTTATCTATTAACAACTTTTGTAAACTAGAGAGTATTGTCAAGAAAGTGAAGAGACAGCCTACAGAATGGTAGAAAGTATTTGCAAATCACATATCTGATAAAGACTTAGCACCCAGAATATATTGAGAAGTCTTACAACTCACTAACAAAAAGACAAACAACCTACTTTAAAAATGAGCAAGGCCTTGAATAAACATTTGTCCAAAGAAGATTTAAGATGACTAAAAAGCACGTGAAAGATCATTGTTGTTGTTTGCCGTCGAGTCGGCCCCGACTCATAGCGACCCCTCCTTGGGTTTCTGAGGCAGTATCACTACGGAAGTAGATTGCCCAACCTTCCTTCCGAGGAGTGGCTGGTGGGTTTGAACCACCAGCCTTCTGATTAGCAGTCAAGTGCCTTAGGTACTACACTACCAGACCTCCTGAAAGATCATCAGTCATTAGAGAAATATAAATCAAAACCACAATGAGGTGCAGCCTCACACTCTTAAGATAGCTAGTATCAAAATAACAAAAAATGGTAATTGTTGGCTGGTGAGAATGTAAAATGGTACAGCTACTGTGGAAAAGAATATGGTTATTCTTAAAGAAGTTAAATTTAGAATTACTTAATGACTCAACAATTCCACTCCTAAGTATATACCCCCAAAGAATTGAAAATAAACACATTTACACTCAAAACAAACACGTTTACACACATGTTCATAGAAACACTATTCACAATAGGCAATAGGTGGAAATAGCCTAATTGTCACGAGATGAGTGAATCAACAAATTGTCAGATATACATGCTGTGAAATGTTATTTATCGATAAAAAGAAATAAAGTTCTGATACATGCTATGACATGGATGAACTTTGAAAATATTATGCTAAGTGAAAGAAGCAGTACAAAAAGGATCATGTATTGTAGATTCCATTTACATGAAATATCCAGAATAGATAAATCGATAGAGGCAGAAATAGATTAGTGATTGCCAGGTGTTGAAAATGGGAACAGAGTGCTTAATAGGTAAGGATGTTTGCTTTGTAATGATGGAAATGTTTTGCTACACTGGATAGAGGTGGTAGATGTCCAACATTGTGAATGTACTAAATGCTACTGAATTCTTCACTTTAAAATGGTTAATTTTATGTGAATTTCACCTAAGTTGTTTTTAAAAAGTGAAAATAGTAAATTAAATTATAAACATTATATTTTCCTAGACTTATTCTAGTACTGATGTCCTCTTACACAGAAGTAGACTCACCAAATTGCAGTCTGTACAAGCTTTAACAGAAATTCAGGAATTTATCAGCTTTATAAGCAAACAAGGTAAATTTTAACGTACCATTTATTTTCTTCTTTTGTAATCGTGAAGGAATTTTAACATCTTATTTTTTTGCTCAGCAAAAGTGAATGTAGGGCTTAGAAACTGTTTTGAATTCAGTAAAAAAAAAAAAATTATTTTTAAAGTCATTAAAATAAATGTTTCAAATGGTCAGACAGTATTGTAGTCATGGGTGATGCAATGCCAAATAAGAAATAAGCAAATGAATGGTTTGTATAGTTTCTGCTGGGAACTGAGACACGTCAGACATGGAGGAAACCTGACTGGGCCTAAGCTGGGGAGGTGGCCTTCTGGAGCATGATTGTGAATGCTGAGAAGTGGAGTTTGCAGAAAGCCTCCTAAAGTGTCCTCAAAGGTGCTGATGGTTCTGAAACTGATGCCAGGTGCCCTGGGCCTGCAGGAAGGTGAGGCTACTATGTTAGGGACCAGACCATGAAGGTCTTTATGTTGACAGATAGGGCATTTTATCCTGGGGCCCATGGGAAGCCATCCAGCACTGTAAGGGAAAGTGTAACTCTTGGTAAAGGTAAAATTTCTTAGTTGTAAATTTGAATTTAAATTTTTTCCTAATTAAATATAATTATGAAAGATACTCTTCAGTTATAACAGAAAATTGGTATTCATCTGTATCTACATAATTGTATCCTGTTTTAAACTTGGAGAATTATTTTGTGAGTACCTATCACTAATGAAGTATTGTTCATTTTCCAGGAGCTATGTTAATTTCTTTATCTGTATTACTTAGTTTTTTGTAGATTTTTTTAATCCTCATTTTCTAGAGGCTTAGAGGGGTTACATGATTGGCCTGTGTTACTAAGTGAAAGATCCAAATTTGAGTACAGGTCTTTTGACTCTAATCTCGTCAGTGTGGTAAATGAGTTACACATGCTTATTTCCCTATCTTCACATCCCTTAGCAATTGAGTTTAATGTCAGAATGTAGTAGATTTAGCACAGTAACTTTACATTCCTTTTGTGGAAGAAAATGCACAGTTTTTTGTTGTTGTTGTTGCTGTTGTTTTGGTTTTTAGCTTGGATAAGAAATTTAAGTTTCTGTTTACTGTTGACTTTTGTCAGTTTGGCTTGCTGAGTGGGGAATACGGTCATTCTTTAATATTATTTTTATAGGTAACTTGTCATCTCAAGTCCCTCTTAAGAGACTTCTAAAAATCTGGACAAACAGATACCCTGATGCTAAAATGGACCCAATGAATATCTGGGATGATGTCATCACAAATCGGTGAGATGTGACCCTGTTGATTTGAATATGAGTTCTTTTCTGAAATTGCCAAAATGTTTTTTCCCCTAAACCATAGTTTAGAAAAATGTGGGTTTTGAGTCTTAGAATCTCTTACTTTGCCAATGTCATGTTCAAGTTATCCCATGCTCCCAGGGGCACCCTGCACTAGTTCTCCCACTCACTTTAGATTCCTCTTTGGCAGTAAAGGAAGTCAAGGAAGCAGCGAGGACAGCAGCACATCTGCTTCTCTCTTGGGACTAAATTTTAGGTAGTGAAATGATAGTAAAGAAAATACTGTGGAATTATATTTATTACTGTATTATTATAACTTGGATTTTTGATACTCTGCCTTCTGCCTCCCACCTCCATTACGTAATTTTTTTTTTTTATCGCTTTACCTGGTCTGAGATAATTTTCTTATTCTTATCTTAACCTCACCCTGTAACAGCCCTGGGTAATTGGTGGGGCAAATAATAACCATATATTGGAGAGAAGAGGCAATCAAATCTTTTTTCCTTTACAGCTAATAAACAACATGGGAGATGCTTTGAGACATGTTCATGCCCTCCTCCTCATAATACTTATCCCTCTAGATTCAGTGTCCATGGATGACTCTTAGCCTGAACTGATCTTGACTATGATGATTGCAAACGATGATTATATATCTCATGTGTTGCTCCATATTTATCAGTCTGTATCTTATAAGGAAGAGCCCTCCCTTGTCCTCAAGATACTTATTTATTTACCTACTTACTTTTTATTGTCTGCATAGCCTCGTGAATTTCAATTTTGTTTAATGGAATAGAGTCCAGTATTGTTTTTATTTACTTCATGTTCAAATTGTCTAAGATTTGTCTTGTGGGAGCCCCTAAGCTGGCTTGTGAGTCCTTTTGACATGCTGCCGTCAATATTTTTTTGAAGTCAGAACAAGATATTCCAGGGTCATCTGTCAAAGTGTCAATGTTATTCTCTTACATTTTCTTCCAGAAATTGAATAGTTTTACTTTTCACTATGTATGCATCATCACAAGATAATTTTTGTAGAACGTGTGAAATAGTAATATTCATTTTTTTCTATGTGAATGTATAATATCCTAGCACCTCTCGATGAAAACTTTGTTGTTGTTGAATAGCTTTGGTACCTTATTTGGAAATCCTTACCAAACAAAACCCATTGTCATTGAGGAAATTGCTTCCTATAGGGATCTTACAGCACAGAGTAGAACTGCCCCTGCTGCACAGGATTTCCAAGGCTGTAACTCTTTATGGAAGAAGATTGCCTCATCTTTCTCCCACAAAGTGGCTGATGAGTTCTAACGGCCAACCTTTCTGTTAGTTGCTGAGCACTTTAACTACTGTACTACTAGAGCTCCTTATTTGAAACTCTGCTTACCATATATGTATGGGTTATTTCTAGATTCTCTGTTCTTTTCTTTGATGTACATGTATATATTTTTTCACACTATCAAACTATCTTAATTACTGTAGCTTTATAGCCAGACCACTGTTGTCATGTAAATTTTGACTCAGAGCGAGACTATATGACAGAATAGAACTGCCCCATAGGTTTCTAAAGTTTAAATCTGTAATGAAGCTACCTGCCACATCTTTCTCCCTCAGAGGTACTGGTGAGTTTGAACCACTGACCTTTTGCTTAATAGCCAAGTGCTTAACCACTGTACTACCAGAGCTCCTATAGCTTTATAGTGAACATTATCTAAGTCTTGAAATTAGATAGGGTAAAATCTCTAGCTTTGTTCTCCTTTTTGAAAATTATTTTATTTATTTTATGTTATTTGTATTTACATATATATTTTAGAATAGGTTGTCAATTTCTGCAAAAGAAAAACTTGGTTGGGATGACACTGACTCTGTAGATCAATTTAAAGGAGAATTATCATCTTAACAATATTGTTAGTTAGTTGCCATTGAGTCAGCTTCGACTCATGGGAACTTTATGTGTGACAGAATGAAACATTGCCCTGTTCTGGACCATCCTCAAAATTGTTGGTATTGTATAGCTGTTGTGTCAGTCTATTTCATGGAAGGTTTCTGTCATTTTGGCTGACTCTACTTTTCCAAGCATTATATCCTTTTCTAGTGATTAGTTTTTCTAGATGATGTGTCTAGAGTAAGTGAGCCAAAGACTTACCATCCCTGCTTCTAAGGAGCATGCTTACTGTACTTCCTCCAAAACTGATTTATTAGTTTTTCTAGCAGTCCACAGTGTATTCAGTATTCTTCACCAACACCAACACCACAATTCAAATGCATCAATTCTCCTTTGATCTTCCTTTTCCATTGTCCAGCTTTCACATTGCAAAAACGGCAAGGAGGCCACATGTTCCGACCTCCTCTAACCTTACAAGAGGAAGACAGGATTACCAGCAGTAACCCAAGGCCTATTCCTACAAGGCCAGACATATTGCCTCCCTCCAGCCCTTTCAGCAACCGTTCCTTCCAAAGCACCCACCACCTCTCTCCTGGGTTCGATAATTCGCTGCAGTGGCCACACAGAGCTCACAGATTATGGGGTTTATTAGGGAAGCACCACAGGCTACAATTCAAGTTCAGGAAAAAATGCTCAGTCTCTCTCCCAGCCCACCGTCCCTCAGCCAAGAGTCCCTCACAGTCTCTTTCCCAGCAGTGCTGGTCCCTCGGTGTCTCACTCAGCAATGCGTGTTTCTTGCGTCTCTTTCCCAGCAATGCGTGTCTCAGGAGCCTGTGTCTCTTTCAGTAGCAAGTCTTCCTCAACCAGCAGTCAGAGTGAGTTCTGCTTCCAGGAGGCCTCCTTTTGAGTTCGGCAAGGTGGTCAAACTAGCCAATCACAGCGTCAGAACTCTAAGCACGTGAGAGAGAGTGGGAACCTCCCAGAACATTGTATTGTGCCACGCCCAACAGAAATAACCCAGGTGGATAGCTTCAGCAATCAGGAGCTCCTCAGTTGCTCATAGAAAATCTCACCTTGGAATTTACAAAGACTTATGGGTAGAAAAGCCACACTAAATAATTTACTACACTGCACACATGCATGAGAGGCAATTGAAAATACCTTGGCTTGGGCAGGCACACCTACTCAAGTAACATCTTTGCTTTGTTATTGTTAAATATTTTTATTGTGATTCGGGTACAAATTTACAAAGCAGATTTCATTTTACACTCAACAGTTCATACACATTTTGTTTCATGGCACCAATTACAATCCTCACAATAGAAGAGTTCTACTCCTGCCTTCTCCTCCTCCCTATGGTTACCCTGTCTCTGTGTTCTTACCTGTGTGTTCCTGTCTGTCTTGCTTTCTCCCTACGCAAATGATGCCTCTCCAATCTCTCAAGGATGACTGTTCTAAGGGGCACATCTCCCTGAGAAGGTGTTCAGCTCACAGGCCATTCTGTTGTTTGGCTGAGAGCTGACTCATAGAACTGGCTCCAGTTCCAGGCTTGAAGAGTAACCTGGGGCCACAGTCTTGGGTGTTTCACCAGTCTCTGTCCAACCAGTAATTCTGGTCATTTTTATATTTCTGAATTTTTATTCCACAATTTTACTCCCACTCTATCTAGAATCTCCAATTTTGATTCCTGTCAAAGTTGTTGGCATTTGTAACCAAGTACTATCTAGTTCTCTGGTCTTAGGAAATTCCTGTGGTCCATTAGTCCCTTCAACTAATTATTTCCGTATGTCTTTGGTTTTTGTCACTCTTCTTTGCTCCATACAAGAAGAGACCAATAGTTGTATTTTAGATGGCTGCTTGCAAGCTTTTAAGGTCCCAGTTACTCACCAAAGTAGGATGTAGAAAAATATTTTTGTATATTTTGTTGTGCCATTTAAGCTTAGTGTCCCGTGAGACTATGATCCCAAGTCCACAGGCCAGGCAACTCAGTCCCAAGTCCCTCAAGGTGCTTGGTTATGTGTAAGAAGCTACTCCAACCTTGTCCCTTGTTAGGTCTGTGAGGTATATGGACATTTTTATAGCACATACAAACATGGATCTAGGAATATCATCAGCCAAACCTATCTCTGATCATGAGTATATGCCCATTTGTCTACTCACACCTGATCTTGCCTACCTGCCTATGTATCCCATCTGTAGACTAGAGTTTCTTATTACTGATAATGCGGTATTGTGTATGTAACAGTATTGGCTTGTTGTCTATACCTTTTGTGTACTTCTCTGTGTCCTCCATTTCCCTATTGTTATTGTGCTAGTTGCTGTTGTTAATGTGCCATCGAGTCGGACCCAACTCATTGCAACCCCTCCTTGGGTTTCCGAGACAGTATCACTATGGAAATAGATTGCCCCAACTTCCTTCCGAGGAGTGGCTGGGTTTGAACCACCAGCTTTCTGATTAGCAGTCAAGTGCCTTAGACACTATGCTACCAGAGCTCCCTATTGTGCTAGTACACACTTTTTTTTATATTGCCTTTTCCTTTACCCAAATCAACACTTAAGTTGTCAGCAATTTTCCCTCTCCTTCCCTCCCATCCCATCCCTGGTAACCAAAAAAGTAAATTTCCTTCCCTGTGTAAACCTTTTCTTTGACTTTTTACAATAGTGAACACCTACAGTATTTGTCCCTCTGTGACTGTCTTATTTCAATCAACGTAGTGTCCTTCAAATTCATTCATGTTGTGAGGTGATTCACAAAGTTTTCATTATTCTTTATGCTGCATAATATTCAATTGTATATATGTATCATAGTTTGGTTATCCATTTATCTGTTATGGGCACTTAGGTTGTTTTCATCCCTGTGCTATGGTGAATAGTGCTGCAGTGAACATGGGTGTCCTGGATCTCACCTCTTTAGGATATATTCCTAGTAATGGGATTGCTGGCTCTGGTAGTGCAGTGCCTAAGGCACTTGACTGCTAATCAGAAGGCTGGAGGTTCAAGCCCACCAGCCATTCCTCAGAAGGACGATGGGGCAATCTACTTCCGTAGCGATACTGCCTCAGAAACCCAAGGAGGGGTCGCTATGAGTTGGGTCCAACTCGACGGCACG